TCAAGCCTTTGCAAAGTTGACATTTTTACATCTGTTTCCCTTTTTGTTTTCCCAAAAGGGCCTTTCATCCCAAATTTTGACAGAAAGAAGACACCCCTTCCGTTTTTTTTTTTCCCCCGGGGTTTCCCTTGGGGTTTTAAAATTTTTTCCGGTTTTTGTATGGTGTAAGGTGGAAAAAATTTTTTAAAAAAAATTTTCATGTGTTTTTAGTTTTTTAAAAAAGGGGAAGGAAATTTTCCAATAAAATGAAATTTGAATGCTTTGTTTTGTTTTAAAAATTTTAATTTTGCCCCAAATAAAATAAAAATTTTTTTATATTTGTCAGGAAATTTAAAAAAAATTTTTTTTCCTTTTTCCCCAAATTTTTAAATTTTCCAACAGCTTAAAAAACCTCAAAAACGAACCCCAAAAAGTTTATTTCCCAATTTGGTATCCCCGAAAAAAACCCCCAAAACTTGAATAAAAAACAACAACCCCCCAAAACCCCTTTTTTTAAAATAAAAAAAAAATTTTTTTTTTAATCAAAAGGAAAAACTCCAAATTATTTTGGGGTTTAAAGTGGGAATTTGGGAAACCAGAAAAATTTCCCAATTTTTTCCTTAAAAAAAAATTTTAGCTAAACTTCGGTTTTAAAAAACCCTCGTTTTCCCTCCCCCTCCCAAAGGGGCTTGTCAATAAAAAATAAAATTAAAAAAAAAAAAAAAAAAATTAATTTAATATTTAATATAATTAAATTTATAAAATAATTTCTAAAACCGCCCACACTAAAAAACCACCCTCCCACCACACTACCATCCCCTAAAAACCCACCCCCAAAACCCCCACCCCAAAACCCTACTTTTGCTTTTAATGATTTTTTCGTTTTGAAATTGGACAATCCTTTTGGTTTTATGAAAAAAACTTTCCCTCCCCTCTTGGGGAAAAAATTTGGGAACAAAACCCAAAAAATTTGATTTTTTTCCATGGGCCCAAAAGTTTCGTACATTTTTAGGTCGGTTTTCCCCTCCCGAAAAGGGCTTTAGTTGCAGAAATTCCAGCCTAGAAGGGTGACATGGTTCAATGGGGTTGTCGTCCCAGTTTAGGCACAATCCCGAAAATCCCAGAATTGCATTTGAAAAATTTTAGCCTGCAATTAAACCCCCTTTTGGACATTACTCTTCTTTTTTCTTTTTTCTTTATTTTTTAGAATATTTTTGTTTTTAACTCCATCCCTTTTTATCCCTTTATCCTCTTTTGATTGAAATTTTAATCTTGTAACCCATGGATTTTTTTTAGCCCTAAATTTTCTGACAAGTTGGGCACTGAAAACTCTGAAACGTTTGGGCAGACTCAAAGACCCGGTTTTTTCCATCCATGAAGTCGGAAGGAAAATGGGAAAAAAGATGAGCAGTACCTGGGAAACCAGGGTATTGAAACTAGTGATTTTACCCTTTCCCCAACTCTCTTTCCTAGGAAAATTATGATCCCCCGACTTTCATATCTTAGCCCCAAAATTTTTGGGGCGGAAATTCCCTGACCCTTCGTCCATTTACATCCTTAAAAAACTCGCATTCCTTTCCCCTACCAGGACCACAAAACCAATTTTTCTATTCCACACGACGCCTTCCCTGGGGGTTGCCTGTTATTTAGATGACATGGGTGGGACAGTTCATAGCCCCTTTAAATTTAAAGATTTGAAATTTGGGGTTATCTTTATTGTCTTACTGCTTTTCATCTTCTTGCTGAGGCTATGTCTTTTTTTAAGCAACTGTGCCCCCGTCTCCGCCCTTCCATGGATGGAAGAGGCTGAATAGGGGCTTCTCAGTTCTTGATGAACACGGCACGAGTTTAAAATATGTCATAGGCAGTGCCATTCATTTATCGCCTGTTCGAATCATTTGTGCGTCAGGATAAACATCGGATAGGCTTGTGTTAATCTTTAAATTTGTGGTCATCATAAAAATTATTTTGATCTTGACCTCAATTTAGCGGCTTGCTAAAAACTTAGTCATATTGGGATTGAGATACATTTCCTTTTTTCCCTCGTGTAGGACCATTTTTAATAGCCAATAACTGGACGTTGTTCTCGATTTTGATTTGGAAATAGGAGAAGAAATTCCTTTGGGTTCTTCGAAATATTATGGCTTTTAGTTCTTCCCACTTCCTACTCTAAAGGACCCCTAGCTAATATTTCTATATTCTACAGTGTCTCCTACTCATTATCAGAAAATGACTTTTATGCTGGTTTTTTTCCGTCGCCGGTAAAGGGAGCGCCTGGCTCTTCTGTTTTACATCTTACCCTCCTTTTCTTAGAAGAAAAGCTTCATATTATAAATTAAATATTTTTAAATATATATAATTATTATATATATATATATTTCATATCATATTAAATTATATAAAAGACGGACAAATCGGGGAAAATTAACACCTTGAGGGTAAAATTAATGTCCCATCAAAAAAATACTTTTTTTGCGCACACTAAAAAACCCAAAACCCCAAAAACCACCCCCTCCCCAAACCCCCAAAAAAACCCCCCCCAAAACCCCAACCAAACCAAACCCCCAAACCCCAAAACCCCAAAAAAACCCCAAACCCCCCCAATCCCACCAAATTAAATAATAAAAAAAAAATAAAAATAAAAAATTAATAAATTTAAAATAAAAACCCAAAAATCCCCATCCCAAAACCTTCTCCCAAAACCCCACCATACCCCCTCCCCTAAACCCCAAAACCCCAACACTAACCTAAAAAAAAACCCCAAAATCCCACACTCCCCCCAAAAAAAAAAAAAAACCCCACCCCCCAAACCAAACCCCCCAAAAACCCCAAACACCCCCTACCAAAAATCCCCCACAAAAATCTGAAGGGGAAAGGGGAAGGATTCCCGACCTTCAACCTTTTTTGGGGAGGGGGGTTGGGGGGCCCCCCGGGGAAACTAGGACCAGAATCGGGGTTTTCCCCAAAACCCAAAAAGGAAAAATGTTAATTACAAGGGACTGAAAATTTTCACAATGATAGTTTTTTAAAAAAATTTGGGGGAAAAAAGAATTTTTTTTGAAGAATCTCATCATTCCTAAAGAAAATTTTACATAAGGTTTTAACCCAACCTTTTAAAAAACTCTTTTCACAAGACAAAAAGGCACCTGTTTCAACCCCCAAATTTTTTTTTAGGAAAATTTTTTAAGAAGGGGAAACGGACTTTTCTTTTTTTATTTTAAAGGAGAAAAATTTGGGTATCTTTAATATTCTTAGGGCTTTTATTTTTCCCCATCCCCCTCCTAAAATTCCTTTTAACTAATCCCCCAAAATCTTGCTACCTGACCACCCTCCCCTCAACTCAATCAAACTCCCCTTTTAAACCCCCCCTAACCCCTTTTCCCTCCCCTAAAAACCCCTCCTCCCCCCCCTTCCCACCCCAACTCCCCCTTTAAAAAAACCTCCCATAAAACATATTAATAATAATAAAATATAATATAAAAAAATAATAATAAAATAAATATAATCACTAAAAAAATCCCCAAATAAAAAAATATATTATATAAACCCCCCACAGATCTCTGGCGGGTGAGGGAGACCCCAAACCTTTACGACCTTAGGACCGGTACCAAGTGCTATTACCCAATCACCCACATTTGGGAAACCAATTTACCTTAGGCGTTAACATGAGTTTTAACCGTTTGAATCCCAAGGAAAGCCACTTTCAGGAGAAAAGGCTTTTAAAAACCCTTTTAAAAATCTCTTTTTCCTCATGGATCAGGCCTTTGAAGATTAACTAATGTAAAAGGATTTGCGAAGCTTTTCGGAAATTTTTTTCCCAAAACACAGTGTTTGGTATATTTCGCATGCTCCTGACGAGTTCCTATGTCAATATATAATAATTATATATATATATATATATATATATATATATATATATATAATATATATATATAAATATATATATATATAAATATAATGTAAGTTGCAAGGCGATAAATGACGATGCCCATGCACTCTGCCCAGGCCCAGACTCATGGAACTCCGTGTTTCATCAAGAACTGCAAGAAGCCCCTATCATGTGCTTTTAACATCCTATGGAGAGGGAGCATGGACACAGGGGTCGTCCCACAGCTGCTAAAAGCAACAGAAATAACCCCACTCCACATAGAGGGCAGTAAAGCAATAACAAAGAACTACAGACCGATAGCGCTAAAGTCCCATATCATAAAAATCTTTGAAAGGGTTCTAAGAAGCAAGATCGCTCCCATCTAAATACCCACGAGTTACACAACCCAAGGCAACAGGGGTTTAGAGCAGGTCGCTCCTGTTGTCCCAACTACTGGACCACTATGACAAGGTCCTGGATGCTCTAGAAGACAAACAAAATGCAGATGTAATATACACAGACTGCAAAAGCCTTCGACAAGTGTGATCATGGTGTAATAACGCACAAAATGCGTGATAAAGGAATAACAGGAAAAGTTGGTAGATGGCTCTATAATTTCTTAAACAGAACACAAAGAGTAGCAGTAAACAGAGTAAAGTCTGAGGCGGTTACGGTGAAAAGCTCTGTTCCACAAGACACAGTACTCGCTCCCACTCTGTTCCTCATTCTCATATCTTGACATAGACAGGGATGTAAGCCACAGCACCGTGTCTTCCTTTGCAGATGACACCCGAATTTGCATGCCAGTGTCCTCCATTGAAGACACCGCAAGGCTCCAGGCGGACATGAACCAAATGTTCAGAAATAGTGTTTGGAACTCGGAAGCAATTTTAACTTAGGCACCCATGTTATTATCAGAGAGACTCTATATCGTGTCTGTCTCGTGATTACTGAACATGGAATTGAATTTTCACTATTTTTGTTTGCAAAATAGTAATTCATAATCAATAGTAAATAAGAATTCGTAATCAATAGTAAATAATAATTATTCATAATAATAGTAATTAATCATAACATTAACAATTATTATTCATACTTGTTAGTAATTAATAATTTTTAATATTAATCAACACTAATAACGATCATCTCTCAGGAGCACGTTGGTCGTCCCTACAACCTGCACTATGACCTGGCTACCTCCGTCTTGAACGTCATGTGGCGCATCGTGGTGGGGGAGAGGTTTGCTATGGGTGACCCCCACCTGCACGAGCACATCAACTCCCTGGCCATGGCCTTAACCCTAGTGGAACAGGGCGGCTTCCTCAACTACACCCCTGTCATACAGTCAGTCGCAGCTGCTCTTTTGCTACTGCCCTCATTTCGCGTTTAGTTACGAGTGTATGCAGTTTTTGTTTTTAATTGGGGACGCCGGGATACATTCACAAATAATCTGCACATATGAAACAGAAGCTTACGACGACGTTTCGGTCCAACTTGGGCCATTTACAAAGTCACACTAACACAAAAGAGAGAGTTAGTTTAACATCTTTATTATGCACCCCATCCTGTGGGCGGTAGTCAAAGGATTACAGAGGTACATAATGAGTCCAGGGACTGGGCCCCAAAGTTTTGATAGCTCAACAAGATACAAAGGTAATGAACTCGGGTAGATCTGGTCACAATCATGACCAAGTTAAAGGAGAGGGAGTAGAGGTGTGCTGCTCTGTACGACGTCACATGTCGGTGGCCCTAAAATATAACGACAACAATAACAGCGAGGTCTATTATTATCATTATTGTTAATTATTATTATTTTACTTAAGCTAAAGAGGACACTACATTTAACCTTCCATCCTCCTGCTCCCCCTCCCCCTCCTCTTCCTCCTCATTCTCCTCCTCTTCGCTTCCCTCACTCATTTTCTCCCCATCCTCCAAAAATAATGCCAGCCTCTTCAGGTTATTTAACATTTAAATCTTCACTTTCTTGCATTTTTACCTTTTAATTCGCCTCAGTTACACTACAGAAATTCCATAATAACTCAGGTCAGCATTGAAGCATGAATCGAAAAATCTGAAGCTGTATTTAATGACCAATACTGTATTTCTTAGGTAGACTCTTGCTTACAGTTAGCACTATAATAATAACAGTAATAATAATGGTGCAGCCGATGCTCGCCCTGAATGCGGCTGCGCAAAAAATATTTAGGGTTTTGAGTCCAGGTCCCATAGTCAGTCTGACGGTGCTCGTGTATGAAAGTGAAAAGCTTTTTATAGAAAAAATTACATCATATCAACGATGTCAGTCAAGCTTTACCTGGAGAGGGTTTCGGGGGTCAACCCCCCCGCTCCCCGGTCTGTGACTAGGTTTCATGGTGGATCAGGTCCTGATCAACCAGAATGTTACTGTTGGCCGCACGCAACCCGACGTACGAACTACCGCCCGGCTGGTATAAAATCATGTATCTCTCCCGCCTGCGTTCCAGGGAGTACAGGTTCAGGAACTTCAAGCGTTCCCAATAATTGAGGCGTTTTATCTCCGTTATGCGCGCCGTGAAGGTTCTCTGTACATTTTCTAGGTCAGCAATTTCACCTGCCTTGAAAGGTGCTGTTAGTGTGCAGCAATATTCCAGCCTAGATAGAACAAGCGACCTGAAGAGTGTCATCATGGGCTTGGCATCCTTAGTTTTGTAGGTTCTCATTATCCATCCTGTCATTTTTTTAGCAGATGCGATTGATACAATGAAGGTAAGATCCTCTGACATGATCACTCCCAGGTCTTTTACATAAGTTTTTCGCTCTATTGTGTGACTGGAATTTGTTTTATAATCCGATATAGTTTTAATTTCCTCACGTTTTCCATATCGGAGTAATTGAAATTTCTAATCATTGAACATAGTTTTCTGAGGCTCATTTAAAGATATGGTTGATGTCCACCTGGAGTCCTGCAGTGTCTTCAGTGGAGGACACTGTCATGCAGTGACTAATCGTTCTAACATAATATACAAGGCTTTATCTTAGGAGAATGATTTTATGCTACGAGGTATCAGAAGTTTTGTTGTATCATGGATATTAATAGAAAGTGTTTAAATTCATTAAGTACAGAAAACAATTGTTATAAGAATGGGTGACATGTTACACATATTTAATGGAAAGCTCTTGGTTATGCTTGCATATATCTGACATACAGATTTTACTCACTAACTATAATAATGATTAAGTTATTAATGGTAAAAACAACACTTAAGTATGTTTCAAAAATTATATTGGTGGTTAATATCCATCGGAAGCTCTGCCTGAAAGGAGAATTTCTAAATTTTTATTTCTGAAATAATGGCTATTTTTTTCTGAATCCTTAAAAAATTTCAGGTAATGTTTATTCTACTGCCTGGTTGATCAGGCCCTGATCCACTATGAGGCCTGGTCACAGACCGGGCCGCGGGGGCATTGACCCCCCGAAACCCTCTCCATGTGTACTCTAAGATTCATCACGTAATGTTTATTCTCCTCAATAAGGTTCATCGGGACATTCCTGAGGTTCAAAGCCCTGAAGGTAGGGCTTAGCATGAGCCGTCGCCTCAAACACTATAAGAACATAATTACCCAACACAAGGCCACCCTGGATGACCCTGCCCGGGGTAATGACTACCTCTACGAGTACCTGAAGGAAAGTCACCGTCAGGCTCAGAGAGAAGCAGACGTCACCTTCACAGGTAAGAACAGTCCTCGGGGCGCGAGAGCTGAGATCGGCTAGGAAGGGAAAATGTAACTGTTACTTTTAACAGTATAGCTTTCGCCTCACAACCGAAAGGACTCGGGTTCGAATCTTGGAAAGAGGAAAACGTGTAATTAATCTCGATGAATTTGCTACTCTTTTTTCCTCTAACAGTAAAGTAGTGTTAGTCGACTGTTGTGGGTCGCATCCCAAGTAACTGAATTAAAATGTGTTACCTACTGTAAATTAAACTATACGTAGATAAGTAACAATACCACATATGCTTCTATATACGTGACAATACCACATATGCTTCTATATACGTGACAATATCACATATGCTTCTATATACGTGACAATACCACATATGCTTCTATATACGTGACAATACCACATATGCTTCTATATGTGTCTCACTCATATTGCCATAGATGTTTTCTTATCACAATGGTAAAATAATGAGGAAAAACTCATTGATGAAGCTACAAAATGTTTTGTAAAAAGGTTTCCTCTCTCAATAATATAATAAATAAAAGTAAAGCTCCCAGTGGCTTTAATTAAGTTTCTCTTCTATTTTTTTCAGTGGAAGTAAAATACTGCTTTCCCAGTGGTTAGTAAGGTGTGCAGGTCCACTTTAGCTTATAATAAAGAAAAGCGTTGAAAACACCTACACCATAATACAACAAAGGCACAGAAATTTATATTAACCATTTAAAAATATAATTTCAATGCCTCGCCGTCGCCTATCTTATTCTAGATCAACAACTGCAGTGGCTGATGAGCGACCTGTTCATCGTGGGTCTGGATACCACAGTCACCACCCTCCGCTGGTGCTTCCTCTTCCTCATCAGACACCCTGAGATCCAAGACAAACTATTCCAGGAGCTGGAAGCTAACATCGGCACTGATCGTTTGCCAACGTGAGCACATCTAACAATAAACACCCACTTATTATTAATGAAGCAGTAGATTTAGTTGTAATATTCAAATACGTGTGTAGATATGCTTTTTCTGTTGTAATTTTGTCCCATTTTCTCTGATCTAGAAGGTAAACTAGAGGACAACTTGGTAGTGTCTCGCGACTTGCAAATTTAAAATCGAACCTTCATTACTCCTTGGGTTTAGCGACTCAGATGAGTTTAATGCTGAAGTGAAGAATTAAATGAAGAGCCGTTTTTCATTAGAAGCTACAAGTTGCTCCAAGGAGTCCCGCAGACTATCAGTGACAGTAAAAAATGTGATTTTTTTAATTGCTTTTGACATTATGATTTTTTTAGCAGAAACTCAAACACTGTAATACATCGAACAGCTGGGTTGAAGACTGCTCCAGCAGGAACTTTCTATTTCATGAAAATGCCACCAGATGTCTTCTAAGAGCAGAACATTTGTTCTTATAAATGACATGGCTGGTGGTAAAGAAAAACAGCAGTTACATAAAATCTAGAGAAAACAGAGCTCCAAAAGAGCCAGAGTGGATGGGTCATAAAAGACCCGGCCCTGACTGACCTGAACATTGTTCTTACCCCCCCATTCACAGTTCAGTGTTTCACACAAAACATGGAAGACTACAGTTTACATAACTGTTTTCTTAATAAGTTGAAATACAATGGTTATAATCATAACTATAATTTTTAAAGGGCTGGATAGGTAATCCAGGGAAAGGTCTCGGTCAGATGACCAAAAACTCCAGCTGCGGGTCATCATATGACAAAGACCCGCGTCACGAAACACTTGTCCTGTTTCCTGACAAACTTTAGATAACCTAACCTATTCTCTCGGTTTTCTTTTTCCTTCTCTAGTACTATTCATTTGACACTTTGTTCCAATCAAACATGATACGATCTTTCATAATGACACAAGCTAAATTGTGGTTCATCAGTATTTATTTCAATGTAGTTCTCTTTTTAGTTCCCTCGTGGGTTTAACATTTCTGTTTAATACTACTACTAATAATAATAATAATCTTCAGCTACAAGCCCAGCAATACATTACAATTCTTGAGAAATTATCTCTTTTTCTAATTTCTAGTTACGAAGACCGACAGCAGATGCCCTACACTGAGGCCTTCCTGATGGAGGTGTTCCGCTATGGCTCCATCCTGCCCCTGGTGATGCACAGCAACCCTGTGGAAACGACCCTTGGGGGTTACCGCATTCCTAAGAGGACCTGGGTCATCGGCAACATCCGCGGCATCCACTGGGACAAGCAGGTCAAGTCTGGCTTGTTTCTTGTTGGTTTACTATCATGGTTGGAAATAGGTGTCCCGAAGCTCGATGGATAATGCACTCAGCTCTTACACTGAGGTCCGTGGTTCGATCCCCAGTACGGGTGGAAACATTAGGACGTGTTTCCTAAGAAACCTGCTGTCCCTGTTCACCTAGTACCTAGGTGTTAGCCGAGTGGTGTGGGTCGCTCCCTGGGGATGTCAACTAAACCTGTATACGTTAGAAATAATAAACATAATAATAATAATTATTATAATTATTATTATTATTATTAAGTTTTTCGCTGACTTCTGCTGCCATGGAGGAGCGATGACTCTTCTTGATATCCCATTCAAAGACTTCTGATCCCACATCTTCCTAGTAATATATCCCAAGGAACATTCTGATCCATTCGACTCCTAGGAGAGGACTGAGGGAGATAGTGTGCTTGGTTTTGAGGGGTTGGACATCCAGTAGGCTTGAGTGAGCATGTTAGATAGGAGTGAGTGGAGGCAATGGTTTTTGGGGCATAACGAGCTGTTGGAGTGTGAGCAAGGTAACATTTTGTGAAGGGCTTCAGGAAAACCGGTTAGCTGGACTTGAGTCCTGGCGGTGGGAAGTAAGTAGTGACTGCCCTCTAAAGTAGGGCATAAAGATATTTGTTGTTTGGAGGGACCTGGTTACCTGGATTACCTGGAGGTTATTCCAGGGATCAACGCCCCTGCGGCCCGGTCCATGACCAGGCCTCCCGGTGGATCAGGGCCTGATCAACTAGGCTGTTACTGCTGGCCGCACGCAGTCCAACGTACGAGCCACAGCCCGGCTGATCCGGCACAGACTTTAGGTATCTGTCCAGCTCTCTCTTGAAGGCAGCCAGAGATTTATTGGTAATTCTCCTAATGCTTGATGGGAGGCTGTTGAACAGTCTTGGGCCCCGGACACTTAAGGTGTTTTCTCTTAGTGTACCAATGGCGCCCCTACTATTAATTGGGGGCATTTTGCACCGCCTGCCCAGTCTTTTACTTTCGTAGGGAGTGATTTCTGTGTGCAGATTCGGAACCATTCCTTCCAGGATTTTCCAAGTGTAGATTATGATATATCTCTCTCCCCTGCGTTCCAACGAGTACAAGTCAAGTGCTTCCAAGCGTTCCCAGTAGTTAAGATGCTTGACAGAACTTATACGTACACTCTCTAGATCTGCAATTTCACCTGCTTTGAATGGAGATGTTAATGTACAGCAGTATTCCAGCCTAGAGAGAAGAAGTAATTTGAAAAGGATCATCATTGGCTTGGCATCTCTCGTTTTGAACGTTCTCATTTGTGATTGCATCTGTGATTGTGGCACTGTTGTGATCCTTGAAAGTGAGATCCTCAGACATTACTAATCCCAGGTCTCTTACATTATTTTTCCGCTCTGTTGTATGGCCAAAGTTTGTAGTATACTCTGTTCTAGTTATTATCTCCTCCAGTTTTCCATAACGGAGTAGTTGGAATTTGTCCTCATTGAACATCATATTGTTTTCCGTTGCCCACTGGAAAACTTTGTTTATATCTTCTTGGAGGTTAACCGCGTCCTCAGCAGATGACAGCCTCATGCAGATCCTAGTATCATCCACAAAGGATGATACGGTGCTGTGGTGTATCTCTGTCTGTCTGATATGAGGATGAGGAATAAGATGGGGGCGAGTACTGTGCCTTGTGGAACAGAGCTCTTCACTATGGCAGCCTCTGATTTTACTCTGTTGACCACTACTCTTTGTGTTTAATTTGTTAGGAAGTTGAAGATCCATCTTCCCACTTTCCCAGTTATTCCTTTAGCACGCATTTTATGGGCTATTACGCCATGATCGCATTTGTCAAATGCTTTTGCAAAGTCTGTGTATATTACATCTGCATTATGATTTTCTTCCAGTGCATCCAAGGCCATATCATAGTGATCCAGTAGTTGTGAGAGGCAGGAGCGACCTGCCCTGAACCCATGTTGCCCTGGATTGTGAGGATTTTGGGAATCCAGGTGATTTGTAATCCTGCTACTTAGCACTCTTTCAAAGATTTTTATGATGTGGGGCGTCAGAGCTATTGGTCTATAGTTCTTAGCTAATGCTTTGCTGCCACCTTAATGGAGTGGGGCTATATCCGTTGTTTTAAGTGACATCTGAACTGTCGTATCTGCTCGCTTCTGGCAAGACAGTGATAGTGTGAATGATGGTGAAAGTGTTTCTTTTTCGGATCACCATGCCTCGGAGGAAAATGACCAGTGTGTTAAAAAATAACAATATTTATGGCTTTCATTTTCGGCAGGAAAGACTAGAATATTGCAGAACTAAAATTTACGTTATTCTATACATAACGTAAATTTTATTTCTGTGATAGAATATCACAGAAATAAAATTTACGTTATATTCCTAAACTAGGAATGCTTTACTATTGACAGGGAAAACTAATTATTATAATCGAGAGTAGACCGTAAACAAGATTATTAAGCATTGTTCAAAAACGGGCATAAATCTAAATGACGCACTGACAGTGTAGGAAAGACACGACTCACGAAATCATAACACGATTGTAAACAAACCACAGAACGGGCGGGGCCTGAACTCACGGTAAGTGAGCCCTAACACTCTGCGCCAATGCGTAAGCCACTGGGCCAGCTGATTACAATATAAGAATCATATTTTGTAGCCCGATGGCCCAGTGGCTTACACACTTGCCTGGAGTTTTAGGACTCGCTTCCCATAGGTTCAATCCCCGCCCGTTCCGCGGTTTGAAGGAAGGACATGTTGCGGAACAAGCTTCTACTGGGACAGCATTTCACTCCGATAAAGCCTTACTCTGAGCGAAACTATAAGATTTCTTTTTACCACAGTCGTAGCAACTCGGAATATTTCTCCACTTTTAGCTGCAGTCCGGGTCGTAGCAGCCTCTGCCTCCAACCACCCTTGATACCATGATAACTGTGGTCCCTGTGGCTGTTAGGAAGAATATTTAGCATAGGGTTAGAATTCGTTTCCCCCTAACTTTTGCATCCAATACTTTGGGGTTATCCCAAATTTCACTTGTCTTGAGCAATAACTTATCATGAAATTACCAAAAATAGCTATCACAGAATTTCTCAAATAACTTATCATGGAATTACCCAAATAACTGCAATCAAGTCTGTCCCAGACTTCCACTTGGATGATTTCACGGGACTGAGAAATTACCTGGATGGGCTGAATTAGAATAACCTGAGTACGGGTCAGGTAGGTGGTGATGGTTGCCAGTATGACGTTTTTCAGAGCATAGTTCTAGCTACCAGACAACTTATGTTCTGTGTAAGGAAATTAGATCTAAAAACAAATGATCCCAAAGGATTAAAGCATCTCATTGGTCAAAAGAGAGGCATATATAAGCAGTTCAGAAATCAATATATTTAGTTAGAGAGAATTAGAAAAGGGGATAAGAAAAGCAAAAAGAGATTGAGGCTAAAGTTGCAAGAGATTCGAAGACTAACCCAAAAGGGTTCTTTCTGGTATACAGAAGTAAGATTAGGGAAAAGATAGGCCCACTTAAGAGTAACTCAGGTCAGATGTTGGACAGGAAAATAACTGTTGAGAAATGGTTTACCAGCTAAGGTTAAAGATTAAATATAGGGAGTACTTAGCTGATAAGACAGCTATCGTCCACACAGCCGCCCCTGCAGACGAGGTCTTAAGAAACTGTCTCGTCCACTTCTTAACGAGCTGTAAAAGATTATATTATGTATGATTATAAATTACCCCTATGGGGTGTTATGTCAGCATATTTCATTCACTGATGGCTGACGTACGTACTTGTGTGGACTCAAAAGTCCGCTTATCACCAGGGTTTATGATAGGTGACTGACTCGTAACTTATACTCAACTGCGCAGTCAATAGTAGTACATCACGAGCTCGAACACTTACCTGGGTATATGTATCTGACCCGTAGTTACGCTCGGATATCTGTCGAGTTGATTGAAGAATAGTGCTCTTTGAAGAATGTCGCACTACACTCTGTTGGATCGCAACACTCATTGTTACACTGCTCATCAATAATTGTTCACACCATAATGTCACTAAAGAAGCTGATCACACTTCTCTGTAAGTGTTTATCGTGTTTTGTGAGACACCTTGTTCACACTAATGCACGGATCAGTGTTCTTTGTTGGTTATCCTGGCGTCAGTGTGACTCCCAGTCGGGTGAAAAGTAATCTGACCTCACAGCATCCTATCCCACTCCAATGCCCCTCGAACTTAAAGGAAAAGCTGACCTAGTACTTTTGCTTCCTTGCCACTTCCTCCATGAAGCAAAGCAGAATGCTTGATTCTTGCTGTCTTAAGCATAGACAACAATGTACACTATCTTTACCATGGTAATAAAGTGGGAGCAGGATTTTCCTTGTCCTGCTAAGGGATGGACTGTCTTTTATTAAACTACACTTTGCAACACTGGACTCCTGCAAGGAGCGGTGGTCGCTTGACCACGTCACATACTTGTACTGCATCTGGTATCAATTACTTGCTGTAGCAGTAAACAAGATGCTTGCCCCTTCTGAGAGGGCTGGGCCCCTCGGGGCTGAAAGTTGTTGAAAGGGGCTGAAGGGGGCTGATACCCCCTCCTGGAGAAAATTTCTCTACAATAACTATGCCACATATAAACTAAATAATGTAGATCTTAATATTACTAATTGCAAAAAGGATTTGGGAGTTCTGGTTTGCAGTAATCTAAAATCAGAACAACAATACATAAGTGTTAGCAATAAAGCAAACAGAATCCTTGGCTTCATATCAAGAAGCATAAATAACAGGATTCCTCAGGTTGTTCTTCAACTCCATATATCCTTGGTTAGGCTTCATTTAGATTATGCTACACAATATTGGTCACCGTATTACAGAATGGATATAAATGCACTGGAAAACATCCAAAGGAGGATGACGAAGTTGATCCCATGTATCGGAAATCTTCCCTACGAGGATAGACTGAGGCACTGAATCTGCACTCTCTAGAAAGGCATATAATTATGGAGGATGTGATTGAGGTGTATAAATGGAAAACAGGAATAAGGGGGATGTAAATAGCGTGATAAAAATATCTAGCCAAGACAGGACTCACAGCAAGGGTTTTAAGTTGGAAAAATTCGGATTCAGGAAGGATATAGGAAAGCACTGGTTTGGTAACCGAGTTGTGGATGAGTGGAACAAACTCCCAAGTACCATCACTGAAGCTAAAACGTTGTGTAGTTTTAAAAATAGGTTAGATAAATACATGATTAGGACCTAACTAGCTTGTGCTAGTGGGTCCGATGTCGTGCTCCTTCCTTAAGCGGATGTGACCTGGACCTGACTAGGTTGGGTCAGTGCCATAAGCCAGTAGGTGACTTGGACCTTCCTTGCATGGGCCAGTAGGCCTGCTGCAGTGTTCCTTCTTTCTTATGTTCTTATGAGTACATGCATTTTTGGTATGCGTGCCTGTGTATTCAAAACGCGTATTTTGTATGCGTGCATACATGTTCAGTACAGTCAGGTACGTGTTCAGTAGGCGCACCTGCGGATGTGTACATTCCATTTCATCAACAGATGTGGGTGGACCCTGAGATCTTCCGTCCTGAAAGGTTCTTGAGCGATTCAGGTCAGCAGCTGCTACACACTAAAAACATGGTGGCCTTCTCCCTCGGTAAGTCTTCTCGTGGACACCCCCAGGATCGCATATCCTTAAGTAAGTAAGTAAGTTTATTCAGGTATACACAAATACAGTTACATAGAATTATCATACATAGCAGCATATGTGTAGAGAACCTAGGATAACCCAAAAAAGTCAGACAGAGTGACTTATTTCCATTGGGGTCCTTTTACCTTATTATTATAATATAAAGGTTATAATATTTTCTTATTATTCTACAATGATAACATCTTATTATCATACTAAAAAGACTATCTACTACACGAGGGTCATTAAGACTATCTACTACACGAGGGTCATTACTAGGAATAAGGTAAAATTTACACGTATGTTAGCTAAAAAATAGAAAATCATTCCCCTCCCTTTCTGTAGCTACATTCATCAGACACCTTTTGGCACTCTACTTGAACTGGTTCATGCTATGACTGGCTTTGACATGTGCGGGCAGTCTGTTCCATTCCTTTATTGCTGTACAATAAAAGGTGTTTGAAGCCTGGCCACTGACTGTGGGTACTACAAAGTTGTGCTCTCTCCCCCTAGTACTATGATTGCTCTGGTTCCCAACCTTGACAAAATTGACAGCAAGATATTCTGGACATTGTTTGTGAGCAATTTTATAAACATGATTTAGCTTCAGTTGTTTTACTCTGTCTTCAACATTCAGCATATCCAATGCTGTAATTCATCCTGGCCTACATGTTCTCTTGGTCCCAGCCCCAGGATGAATCTTACGATTTTGTTCTGGGTGATTTGCAGTCTATCTTTCAGTTTTTTTGTCAAGGTAGAGTACCAAGAAGAGCAAGCGTAATCCATATGGCATTGTATAAGGGCTAGACATAGGGTCCTGCGAGCCTCAGTAGGTAGACACTGTGCTTGTCTATACAGGAACTTCAGTCTGGCATTCGCTTTCTTTACTACACTGTTCCCTATCAATTCTCCTGACATGCATGGGTCGAAGGGGATTCCCAAATATTTTACTGATGAAACCAAAGTGATGGGCTCCCCATTACATTGAACATTAAAATTATTTACCCTTCTCAGTTTATGTTTCGTGCCAAAGAGGTCCAGGTTTCACAATTGACATTACTTTCTAAATACATATACTAAACACATCAGGGGGCTTTAAATCAATTGAGCAGACTGACTGAAAATGCTTAAGCAAATCATTCTCCACAGGGAGGAGGAACTGTCTTGGAGAGTCCCTGGCGAGGATTGAGGCGTTTCTCTTCCTGACGGGGTTCTTGCAGCGATACATCGTCAGCGTCCCACCGGGGCAGGAGGTACCTCATACTCGTTATGTGTTAGGAATCACTCTCAACCCTCTAGAGTTCTCCGTTCAGATTGACCACAGAGCAGCGCCATTCTTACACAGCTAGCTACATAACTCTAGTTACGTGAAGTATATTCCAACTGTTAGCGCTATTAAATAATATAGATGTAATATAACAACACAAACTGAGTGATTACAAATCACTCAGTTTTAACATATCATGGAATTACCCTAATAACTGTAATCAAATCTCTGTCCCTGACTTCCACTTGGCTGATTTCATAGGACTGAGAAATTACATGGGTGGGTTGAAATGGAATGACCTGGAAATGGAATGCCACCGTTAGGTAGACGGTGATGGTTGCCAATATGACGTTTTCCAGAGCATAGTTCTAGCTGCTCAGACAACTTATGTTCCGAATAGGGAAATTAGGTCAAACAAAAATGATCCTAAATGGATAAACAATAGATTAAAACATCTCATTGGTCAAAAGCTTCTTGGCATTACGGCTGAGTGCCCGTAATGCCAAGGCATGATAGTGGCTCTCTTTGCACTACAAATCATTATAAACTTCACTGTAAGCCACCTATGTAAATATACTTCCTACAATATGTCAACCACATTGTAAACTTGCAAGGGATATCAAAAATAAAATAATTTCCCCTCCTTCCTATAACGTGTTCTTTGACCTTCAGTAAGAGAAAACGGTATTCTGGAGAAGCTAACTACACTAGATCACCAGTAAACACTAAAACAAAAGCGATTTTCTCGGAAAAAAAAAAATCCTAGACGAGAGGCTGGCTGGGTGTTTCAGGCTATTATCTCGGAAATAAGTTACTGACTTATTTCATGAAGCCCACCGTTTATTATTAAAGTAAATGCAATAATATTGACAGGAATAATAAGAAAATTATTGTTCTACAATTGGATTGACGAATACTATTGGAATTATTCCAAATATTTTGGGATTTGTGTGGGAGTAAAGGGCAAGATATTTTGCGGATGTAAAAAACTTAGAAACTTTATTTTTTGTAGAATAACTAAAGATAATTCCAAGATTACCGCCAGTGAGAACATCGCGCTAATATTGTTTTATAAGTACCAACTACTTCTGGCAGTTTGGGAGACACACAGATGATGATCAAACTAAATGCAAATTATGTGATCAGGTATATAGTCACTGTCTTGAACACTATGTGCTTAATTGTCCACTTATTGAGGAATACAGAGACAGACAGTATAATAACCTATGTGACATGTCAAGATATCTTATCAATGAAAATAAGATACCAGATACACTAAGTAAATTTTCTAAATTTGCTTATAATAGATAAGTGAACTGTAGATATGTAAATATAAACCCATATGTACACCTGTTAACCCTTTTGGGGCCTAGTTCCTAGGCCTTTTGTGTATCCATATGCTCTTGCGCTACCCCCCTCAAGGAAGGTTCCTTGATGTTGGTGAGGGGCTCTTGATTTAGGGAATTGGATCTGTGCTCCAGTTCCCCGAATTAAGCCTGAATGTCTTCCACATCCCCCCCTAGGCGCTGTATAATCCTCCGGGTTTAGCGCTTCCCCCTTGATTATAATAATAATAATCTTGCGCTACCGTCCACAGGATGGATATAAGATAAGATAAGATTTCGTTCGGATTTTTAACCCCGGAGGGTTAGCCACCCAGGATAACCCAAGAAAGTCAGTGCGTCATCGAGGACTGTCTAACTTATTTCCATTGGGGTCCTTAATCTTGTCCCCCAGGATGCGACCCACACCAGTCGACTAACACCCAGGTACCTATTTGCTGCTAGGTGAACAGGACAACAGGTGTAAGGAAACGTGTCGAAATGTTTCCACCCGCCGGGAATCGAACCCGGGCCCTCCGTGTGTGAAGCGGGAGCTTTAACCACCAGGCCACCGGGCACAATAAACTAGCCACTTCGGTGGCAAAATCTAATCTAATATAATCTTATTGAAACTTACATTGAGTAAGTTTCATGAACACATCTTCGCATACACCAAAAATGAAAGAAATAGGACTAGAGGAAAAAATCGGTCCAAATTGGTTATGCCTCCCTTTAAATTTAAAACTGCAATATATAAAAATAACGAAGATGTTTAACATAAACAGGACTTGCAGCAATTGGTTCAACTTAAACATATTTGGATTTAGAAGGGATGGAGGGAAGTTCTAGTTTGACAGTAGAGTCATGGATGAACTGGACAGTCCTAAGTAGCGTCATTGAAACGAGGACTTCTCATAGCTTGAAATGTAGGTTGGACAGTTACATGAATAGGTGAGTGAGTGCGAGCTAGACCTGCCTACAATGGGCCAATAGACCTATTCCAGTGTTCCACCGTCCATATGTTTTAATATTCATTAATTGAACTCTGCGGCCTTTGGAAAGCCAGTTACTGACTGTCGCGTGTGAAAGTCTTTTGTGACGGGGTTAAGGTGTAGGTTTTAACTGATCAAATTGGGAAATATTGGTTGCTGTTTCTGGCCTCTCTGCCTTGTACTCACCCCTGCCACCTCTCTCCACAGATGTGGGAGACAGCCTCTGTCCCCCCACGTTTGGTTCAGCCTTCCTTTGTAGCCAGGGCCCAGCATTCCCTGACCTACCTTACACTTCCTGCACTTGTAATGACTCCCTCCCCTCTCCACTCTCTGGTCTTCCCCTGGCTGGACCTGATGTGATACATTCACCTGGATTGGCACTACAGGAACAGGGAACCCCCTCAGTTCACTGCATTTCTCTTTGAAGAGTTTTGCTCTGTTACATATGGCTCTTCATTCTCCGTTTACATGGATGGCTCAGCACAGACCTCCCCCCCTTCCACATCCTCTGCGGCCTTCTTCACTAATCTCTCCCTGTGTCAAACCTGGCGGTCTGCCCCTGCTCATTCTGTTCTGGCAGGGGAGCTCTTCGCCATTCACCAGGCTCTGGCTTTTGTCCTAGATCACATTCCCCCACAACCATTGGTTCTCTTCTCTGATTCCCAATCCTCCCTGGAACTTTTGTGCTCTGCCCATCCACGGTCACTGCGCGTCCTCATTCATTGGACACAATCTCTCCTCCTGCACTTCTTGTGGAGCCCAGGTTGGAGCAACTCCCTTCAGTGGGTACCCGCCCATGTTGGAATTCAGGGCAATGAAGTGGCAGATCAGGCAGCCTCCCTTGCACACACACTTCATACTATTACCTCTCTTGCTCTGGGCCACAGTGATTTCACAAGGGTTGTTTGGAAGGGAATCCATCATCATTGGCAAGAGGGCCTGGCACACTCCCTCTCTTCTTCGGTGTTGGGTTCCGTCTGAACTTTTAATGGCCCCTGCCCTTGGGCTTGCCATCCCAACTGCTCGGTGGTCATTGCACTGACTTGCCTTTGAGTCAGGTACCTGAGACTGGCGGCTCATCTGTACTGCCTTCGGATGACGGACTCTCTGTACTGCCCATGGTGTCCCTCACAGCCTGAGACAGTGGAACACTTCCTGCTGTGGTACCTACGTTATCACTCTGCACGGACTACTCTCTGTGTGGCCTTGTGCACACTTGGGGTGCACACTTTCACTCTACCTGTCCTTCTCAACGGGGAGGGGTTTTGCCCTCTGGACCGTCAGGAGATATTGGCCTGTACCTGCTCCTTCCTGCTGGCTTCAGGGCATATCAGGTACATATGATACACAGTTATTAGTCAAAACATTCTTCCACTTTGGTCGAAATCCCCTCTCCTAGCACTGGACGGCTGGGCTCGATACGGTGTATGCTGTCAGTGGCCCTGAAACCCAACAGAAGAAGAATAAGAAGAACCAGGGATACCAAGCCCATGATGACACTCTTCAGGTTGCTTGTTCTATCTAGGCTGGAATATCTTTTTTTATATTTTATTTAAAACATTATAATACAAGGTGGATAATCTATTAAAAAGGCACACAAAATGAGTTAAATCACAAGAATCCCTTACACAAAATTAACCACACCAGACATAAAGGCGGTCTGACACCCTGTCACTCCACATACCATTCTACACCCTACAATATTACCTTTAATGACTTAAGCTTTTGTCGTGATTCCCCCCCGCCTCCACCCACACCCCAAAATAATATAAAACCTTTATCACCAACTTGAATGCTCACAACTTGACATTAATGAAGAAACATAATTAGTAATTATACAAGCATGGGTGAAAAAGTAACACCAAAGACACAAAAATATTAGTAACAATATTAATCCTTTCAGGTTCGGCAGTCCCTCTCCCAAAACTGTTCTCAGGGTTGGTAAATATTCGAAAAAGATAGTTTTTTTTTTTCAAAATTTTATAGGCTAAAAAAAATGTTTTTGCCATCAATACTTACCGAGATATGGAGGCGTGAAGTTGACAGAAATTGAACCGCATACGGCAACATCGCCGATTGCCGGTCACCCGGTAATACAAAGTTTTTTTTTTCTAATTTTTTCTTTTATTTTTTAATATTTTATTTTTTCAAGTAACTTATGGCTTCTGAGACCAATATAAAGACTATTTGGTATATATTCACTTATTGTATACTACACAATAACAGCACAAACTTTGCTGTCATTATATAGTTTACAAAACATGTTTACCAAACCAACAATAAAAAATGTTGGTTATTACTATTTTTTTCTCATATATATACTCATATAGTCACTGGACAGGTTCCTATAACTAAAAGAGGTTCCAAAAGCTTGTAGTAGTTTTGGGGTTGGACTTGAAAATTGCTGAGTCATGGTGTGTCGTCGTTCAATGTGCATATACCACCACTCACAACCCTCACTCCCTTCCAAAAAACACATCCCTTCCCCCCAAACACCTACCTTCCTTCCTTTCCTTATTCTTTCCCTTTCTCATATTGGGGGAAATTTATTTGGCCCAAAAGTTCCACAGGACAGACCCAGCAGGGCCCGTAAGGGAAAGGCTGAGTGGGGGGCCCCAAAAACCCCCCAAAAAAAACAGCTTTTCTGTTGGTGTGGATTTTTTGGTGGATTATTTAATTTACAGTTTTACTCTTCAGGGAAGGATGGGTAGTTTTACTGTTAGTATTTTAAAATACTGGGTTTATAAGGAACTGTAGATAATAAAAATGTAGACTAAGCCCTTAAATGGGTTTAAATAAGGCAAAAATGTAGGCAAACAGGGGAAAAGTTAGCTAGGAAGAACTGGCAGCCCTTTTTGAACAAAGAGATGGGGTCTTGAAGGAGGACCGCCGTTCTTCTTAAGAAGACACCAACTGGACAAGAGTCCCGGATCGCAGACGGCGCCCCCCGGTCTTCACTTTGAGACCTAGGGAAATCGGTAGAGGCCCCCTCGATGTCCCGTGATGACCCCGTCGGGCCCCATACGTAAGCAAGCCCTCCATTTATCTCGTAGATTTTGGCCAGTTTCTGGGGGAATTGTGAGTGAGTTTGATTGTGGGCCTGGGTGCAACAGGCGTGATCCCCAGAAGTCCCAGTGTTCAGGCAGTTGGAAGTAGTGTCTGTTTTTGCATGTTATACTGGGGGGATACATCCCCTCTTGGACATAGGAATTTCTGGAGTGGAGGGGACACTAATAA